CAGTTGGCAATTGTCCTTGTCGACCTTATAGTAGCACAACTGGTGCATTGCTTTGATTGGGAGCTTCCAAATGGTATGCAGCCTTGTGATTTGGATGTTGAGGAGCACTTTGGGTTAGCAACAAGCAGAGCAAATCCTTTAATGGCTATTCCTACTTATAGACTAAAAAACAATGCTTAAATCTCAAACGATACAGTATGGAGTTGGCTGAAATAGTTGGCCTTAATTTAATAAGATATGTGCAATGAAAACCATTTCTTCTCTGCTTTACTGGTCATGCTATCTCTCAGACTACACTCCTTGTAATTTGTTTTTCTCTTTAGTATTTGTGGAGCTAATAAAAGATTTATTCGTTTCACAATTTAATACGAAATACGTTGTGGAATATCATGGGTTAACTAGCATATAATCACAAATAAATAGAAAAGAGAAGAAAAATAACACAAGGACTTAATGAGGTTCGGCTAGGCCTAATCCTCCCAAGCAAGAGCATAGAGAGTTTTCCACTATGCCTTAGAATCCCCAACTACATCCCTATATATAGATCTCAAGTAGTCTCAAACCTATAAGTAAAAGGTTCTCCCAATCCTAGGACAATATATAATTTCTCAAATCTATTAGGACAAAGGATCTCTTAAACCAATAGAGATTATGAGTTTCCTAAAATATATAAGGAAAGAATTCAAGACATAATTAACAAATCTTCCCCTTGTCTTGAATTCCCTTCATCAGTAGTAACATATCTTTGTCTTGTCCTCAGCCCTCGAAAGGGCTTACTGAGTACTGTTGCAACACTCAAAAAATTTCTAAGCTAAGATCTGAACAATTCTTCATATATGTATAGACTCTTAACAGATGATTTACTAATAATGCATAGGTGCTAAGATAAATTTCAAAGTGTGGGAAGTATATTGTATGTAAATTAGGGTCATAAGGAACCTCTAACACTACGTTGAGTTCAAAGATTCTCTACCAATTAACTTTTTGTATAAGATAATGCAAGGGTCAACTTCAAACAAGCATATCTCTTATAATGTTAGGAGTTATGTGTCTTATTACCCGTCACATTAAAGGTCTTTGAGTCTTCTTTTTAACATCACCAACCATTTGTAAATTTGAGTCTAGAATAAAAAGTTATTATTGTTTTACCCGAGACATTCTAGTTTAAAATTTTCATTAATACAACTCTTATGTTGAGAGTACGGTCCGTACTTTGACTCGTGGAAAACTTCAAAGAGTTTTGAAATTGACCCACGCAACCAGGAGTCAAACTACGACTCATAGGGATCGTTTGGTACAAAGTTAAGTAATGCAGGGATTAGCAATGCAGAGATTAACAATGCAAGGATTAGTATTACAGGGATTATTTTTAATCAAGTGTTTGGTTCATCGTTTCTCATCTAATCTTGTGTTTGATTTAAAACTCTACAAAAACCTTTTTTCCAATTTTACCCTTGAATTATTATGTTTTCTATTTCATGTAATTATCATATTTATTGCGATTTAAAACTTGAATACGAAGTTCACGATCCAATGCTCACCTCCCTCTTCTCTTAACAAAACAAGAAAAAACAGTAACCAACAAGATCTAATTTGCTTTCTCATGTAATCTTCTTACCAACTCAAATTAAAATAAAATAAAACTAAAGAAGTTGCACAAAGATCAAAACCTTTTTGATTTTAATGACTCAATTTGTGAGGAAATAGCAGTATTGCAGATCAAATAGTAGTGTTACAAGACGAGAGAGGAGAAAAATGTTTTGAGTTTGTTTCACAGTTACAAAATGCTGTGCTCTGGAATTGAAGAGACGGAGTTTTAAGGACGAGAAAATGGCTGGTGGTTTGTATAGTTTTCCAATCAAGCAAGAGAAAATTTCAGAAGATCAGATTTTTTAACTGAAAAATCTGTACATATTTTTTTCTTGTCCAAAAGAAATTGTATCACTTTAATGAAAACAATGAAGGTGTCAAAGAGCAGAACGTGAATTTCCTTACCAATTGTAAAGGTTGTATAAAGAAATTGAAGGGCAATTCAGTCATTTTGTTTCCTTATCCAAGTATTACTAAACCTGGAATCAGTAATCCTTAGATATTCTTGGTATTAGATAAGACCACATATGGTGTATTAAGTTATCCATGTATTAGGTGTGTTTGGGTTGAATTGTGCTACCAAACATTGTATTAGGTGGACTAAATTTTAATCCAAGGACTATTTTAAATAATACATCCTACCAAACGACTCCATAGTACATGTATGACCTGTATATCTTTATATATGAATCTGTATATCAGTCTATACTAGTTGTATATTTGTTTTTTTTTTCAAATTGTATAAAACACTATTTTGAGCTTCACTTCTCACTTCTCACTCTTTTGAATACCCCAACAGGCCCCCCAAGAGCTCTATTCAACTCTACTAAATCTTGGTAAGTATTTTTCATAGAAACAACTCCATGTGGCAAAAAATTACAACACATAACTAACATATGTAACAATCCCAACTGAAATTGTATATAGAAACACATAACTTCACTCTTTAAAAATCAATTGAAAATATTTTTTTTTAAAAAGTGTCGGGAAAAAAAGCCACGTAGATGAAACTTAAGGTCTAGTTAGCATTGAGGTGTGTTTCTCAAACTAATGAGTGATGGTTTAGATGTGATTCTCACACTCTCAACAGTTTAAGTATGACACTAAAAAATGAATAATTTAAGTGTATCGTTTACACTTAACGCAAAAACAACATGTCAGCAAAAACAAAGGGGGATACTTTCAAATATATGCAATAAAATAATTGATTTACAACAAATATAGTCATGTTATTATTTACGTAAAAAATAGTCAAAAGTCGTAGAAAGTATAAACTGACGCTACAATATAGCTTGCAAAAGTTAATAGAAAGTTGTGTACACTAACTATCAATATAGCTTGCCAAAAGTCATAGAAAGTTGTATACACTGACTATAAAATATAATTTACATATACATGAGTTATACACTGACTTATAAATTATGGTACACTCCAAAAGATGAATATAGGCGTATGGACATGCGATTTCATATCATGATATGAAATCAACGTTAGGACATGCGATTTTACGGTAATTTCATATCATGGGATGAAATCCCAATTCTCTAAAAATTATGATTTGGGATTTTTCAGATGCAAAAATTGACCCACGACTTTATATTTTGTAAAATAAACTCACATTTAATTTATATATATCTACTTGCAGTTTATTTCATATGTAAATTAAATTTATAATTCATATCATTACCTTTTAAACCATTTATATCTTATATAACGATTATTCTCGCCAATATAAAATTATTTTTATTTCAAATCAATTCTTAATTTACCATTTAAATTCACCAAATTCATTATTTTATCAAATTTATCACTACCTCATTCAAATTAATATTTAATTAAAAAAATCATTATTATATTGAGTGGACAACACTAACCACTATGTCACTAATTGAAAAAGACCTTTTATTTTCCACCAAAAAGTTAAAAGACTCACTGTAGAGTTATTTTGACAAAACGGCAGAAGATCGTCTTCTACCTTTAGCGGGTCCTTTTGAACCGTCCATTTTCACCATATTAGAACCTGAAAATCATATACAAAGGTCACGAAAATGTTAAGAAAAAACTGTTTCCTTATGATTTCTAACACTAATTTGCATTATAAATTCGAAAATTATCGATCCTTTGTGCTTAGGTAACCTAAAATTGTAGCGAAAAATAGTGAATCGACTTACCTCCCGCCAATCACCATTGTTGCAGAAACATTTGTGCTTAGGTACCCTAAAATTGGATCTGCTCTTAGGCCAGAACTTTGTAAGGTCCAGGGATACGGTGTGCCTTGCCGAGTTTTACTCTTTTTGGCTCGCGCGAGATAAAACTAGGATTAGGGTGTGTTTTCGTTATGACGGAAAATGTTTTCAATTTTTTTTAAAAAAATAAGTGGATTTCTAACCTATTTTCTCATGTTTGATTGATGAGTAGAAAATATTTTTTAATGTTTGGTGGTGCATGGAAAATATTTTAAAGAAAATATCGTTTATTTTTTGTATGTGGGATACTTGGAATAGAAAATAATTTGAAATCCTATTTAGGGGATGTTCTATAAATTAGACAATTAATATAATATATTTTTGAAATACATAACAGATAAGAAATACATTTTTGTCATGAAATACAATTTTTTTAAATACAAACTTTGATTGTTACCATGATTGTGAATTTGTATGTGTTTGATGACGGGAATACAAATTTAGTCAAAATTTTAAGAAAGAATATACATTTTTGATAAATATACAAACCAATGTTGTATCACTTTTGAATGAACATGAATTTATAAGTATATGGATACAAATATACATCTTAAATAACTACAAATCCATTTGGTATACATATTGGAATGAATACAAACTAATAAAGAAATAGAAATGCCATTGTACAAACCCAAATATGAAAATCATAATGAATACAAATACACATATCATACATATTGGAATGAATACAATCAAGAGTAAATTTTAAAAATAGCAAACATAAAAATCATATTAGCGCTCTATAACTACAGTTTTGTTATTTGCGCTCCATATCATACATATCTATTCATTGACAACACTAGAATTAGTAATACTTGTACAACTTTCTAAACCAAATAATTCAAGTAGTTTCTAGAAAGCCTTATAGCAACTTATTCCCAAGGCTTGCTATGCTATCAGACACAACTTGCAAGTAGCTCATACAAAGGTAGCCCAGTTTGAAATATGGTTCATTTAGTTATCTTCTGACTTTGTTTGAAAGCACCATATCTTCCCTTACCTTGATAATGACTACTTCTCCTCCACATTAATTAGGGAAGACATTTTCCAAAAATAATTTCTAACATTACCAAATCAGCCATTATATGATTGAGATCTCTAGACCCTTTCAATTAGACATAATTTACAAGCTAAAAATAATTAGGCATGGCTTTGATATGAGCAATGCTAGTGATTATTTTTATTGTGTATGCCTTTTATGAGTTGCTAAACAAAGATTTCCAAAAACTAGCAAAATCACATGGTCCACTTATGTATGTGCGGCTGGGACTAGTACCAACGATCGTTGTCTCGTCTGCAGATACAGCAGAGAAGGTCCTCAAGACATATGATCATATCTTTGCTAGTAGACCTCATAATGAAGCAGCTTATTATTTGGCATATGGACAAAAGAATATGATAGCCGCAAAGTATGGACCATACTGGCGCAACATGCGCAAATTGTGCGCTCAGCACTTTTTGAGTAACAAAAAGATCAATTCATTTCAATCCATGAGAAGGCAACAAGTTGAACGTATGATCAAATCACTTAAAAATGAAGCTTGTGATCATCGCGTTGTTGTTGATCTTAGTGCAAAGATTTCATCTTTGAGTGCTGACTTGACTTGCTTGATAGTGTTTGGAAAGAAGTACATGGATGGAGATTTGGACAAGAGGGGATTCAAAGCTGTTGTTAACGAGGTTGAGCATTTAGCAGCAACACCAAATCTTGGAGATTTTTTCCCCTTCCTTGGTATAATTGATCTCCAGGGACTCACACACCGGCTCAAGGATCTTTCAAAGGTGTTTGATGACTTTCTTGAGAAGATTATCGACGAACATGTCCAGTCTGGTGACCAGAAGCAATCCAAAGACTTTGTTGACCATGTTGGACATTATGCAATCAGGAGAAGCAGAATTTCAGTTTGATCGTAGACATATAAAAGCTATCCTCTTCGTACTTTATTTCATCACCTCTATTATTGTACGATTTAAATTTGTTTGTACTAATTTCCCTTATGTGTGTCATAGGAGATCTTATAGTGGATCACACTGTCAAATCATGATAAGTGAGGTAACCACTCATTGAAACATTTCTACAATCTTGAAGTAAAGTTAGCAAGTAGCCATAAAATATCACTGTTTATATCAAGAAAACATAACATAAGTTACATATGATAGGATTGTTCAAATTTTTCTTCATTCTGGACTAAATTCAATTCCTTGAACAATAAGGCCACCTTTTCCATGAAGCTGCGTAATCTCTATCAATCGCGCATCAACATCTTCATCATCTCCTGTATCATTGATAAAGGATCCCAGTTCTATTTCCATCCATCCATCAACTCTTCTTTGTGGACATTTCAAGTTGCGTCTCCTAACATTTTCCCCAACTAAACTCACCCTGCTAGCTCGTTCCTCTGCTTCTTTGTCGCTCACGCAATTCACAAACCTAACAAATGCATTAGCATTTTCTAGTCCCCAATGTTCCTCTGCCAATTTGAACATTAAATAAACAACATATTTGGTTCTTTTTGACAACATTTGTGATCCAATCGTGCCTCCTATGTCTAGCCAAAATACTCTGTGGAGATGAGCCACTTCTGAAAATCTGCAAAATAAAATGTATTGTCTCATCAATACCTGTATTTAACGAGTATAAGCTATATATAGCTTCGATAGTTAGTGGCAAATTTTCACTAGGAAAATCCAAAAAATAACAAAAGTAACCACCAATAAAGCTTAGGAAATTCAACATCTAACATACATACGTATGACCTTTCATATGCACTTTTTTTACGAACGGATAGCTCATGCCAACAATATATATATATAACTTAAACTCGTTTTACCAAAAAAAATCGTGAAAATGAAGAGAGTAAAATAGAAGAAAACTTTGGTGTATCAACTCCCCATGAAATAGCAAGTTCTCTTGCTGATATCATAAAACATTTCTTCCCTGTTTTCTTATCAAGTGAAAAGCTCTGTTTTCAAAAATAAAATAAAGTCTCAGATACATAGCACATTAGAAAATTAGTTAAAATTTCTTTCTTGTATTCATAAAAGTTATTCTCATTAATGATGTATAAACTATTTAATTTTGCATTATTGAGTGAAAAGCTGTTGACTGCTTAGCGGAAGACTTATTCAAGCAAAATGGGATTCTAATTTCAATAGAGTATTAAACTTTAAAGTCTCAAGTTAACTCTTAACTCAAATAAATGTCTGAAAATGACTAACATCGTATAGATAAGTGTCTCAAGACCTCAAAACATCTCAACAAAAGAAAATAATGATAGACTACTCAACTTCTAATTATCTATGAAGCCTCTAAATACTATAATAGATATCAGGACAAGATCCACAACATCTTTACAAAATAGAAAAATAAATGTGGAGTCCTCCGGAAAGGCTCACCAAAGCTAGCTAGAGTGCAAATGATATCAACGAAGCACTTGTTGATGACCCTGAACACCTGTATTTGCATCATAAATAAGATGCAGGTCGAATAACTTCAGTACATTGAATGTACGAGCATGCATGGAAAACTGAAACATAGATAACTGAACTGATAACATGGGAAGACAATACTCACATCAACTCAACTCCCATATTAAATAAATAATAAGAGATGCAATATTAAAATCTTTAAAAACAGTAAATATCAACTCAAGAAGTATAAAAATATAGAAAGTTATTCTTTACTCTTATTTGAGAGATTCTCTAACCGACAACTATCACTATGAGTTATGTGATGATACAACATTTCGCCCACACTGCCAGAACTGTCCTATACCTTACCGGGGTATAGAACACCTCAACTAAGTGGTCCACTAAGCTATACTTAAAGGCAATAAGAAATCGTCTAAAAAGTACGACCCCTTACCCATGTTGGCTACGTGGTTATGAGCAATGTGAATTGTATGAACTCATCCTCATATCGGTGCTCAATACTACTCCCAATAATATATAAACTCATGCTCAAATGTATAAAATATAACTCTTTCTCAATTTGCGGTAAATACTCAAAAGATCCTCTTAACAGAGGTAATACTCTGAAACTTCTCTGAACTCATAAACTCATTTAGAAATCAATTTTCTCTCTTTTAAAATGTGAAAGTGATACATTTGGGAATACTTAGTTACCATATACTCTTTTTCAATCATGAATGCAACACTTCTCATTCTCATAGTTACTTCCTCAAGACTTACGACTTACTTCAAAACTATACTTAATTACGAAAGAATTCTCAAAATGACTCAAAGGACCTCTTGAATTTTTCTCTTAAACTCACTTTAATTTGAAATGCAATTTAAGACATGTGATTAGGATATGTAGAATCTCTCAATGATTAATGGAGCATTTAGGAGCTAACACGAAGAAGAGAAACACGTCCAGAAATGAAGCAACGAAAGAAAAAGACAAGGCGACCTTGGCATACTGAGTGGCACAGGGCGCCAGTTCCTAACTACTGGCCCAGCCAGGCACTAAACTACTGGGAAATAGTTCAGGCACTATGGGTGGCGCGCCGCCCCACGCCCCTGCCCAGATTTCTGATGAATTTTTCTACTTCAATTCGGGTCCTAACTCATCTAGAATCGAGTGATTTCTTCTAAACTTTTTTTGATTCACAAACCTAGCACGAATTTATAGAAATTTCACATAATTCCTATCAAGAATCACAACTCATTCTCAAGATGCTCAACCCAAGAAACTCAAAACTCCCATTGTTAAAGAATAAAACAACAATCAAGAACTACTCAAAAATCTCTTAATATAACGATTTTATGTACGAATTTAGATGTATGGCATGAGGAAGAACGAGTCCATCACTGTGGTAAGCCTTACATACCTGGAAAGAACGATGTTCTTGGCGAATTCCACAAATCTTGATGAACGCTAGAAACTTAGCCCTTTTTTCCTCTTGAAACTTCGCTCTAAAATCCCCAAGTGTTTAGGTACGTGAAAAATTACTTAGCGTCTGATTAGAAAAACATGGTTAATCCTAGTGGTAAAAGGAAAAAACCAAAATACCCTTTTCTCAAACGGATGAAATACTTTAACTAGTGAGGCTTCACTCAAACGGACATAACTTTTTACTCTGAACTCGAAATTTAGCAAACTTGGCGGCGTTGGAAAGAGGACTCAAAGACCTTCGATTTGATAGCTCATGAGCCACCTAATTATTTATGTGCTACAATATATGGTTATTTGAAATTGACTCAAAACTAAAAACTAATGGGTGACTTGTACGGATCTTTATTTAGCTCTTTCGAAAACTGAGGTATTACATCAGTAAATAGAGAAGAATCTTGCAAGGTATCATCTTGCATGTTTTCAACCAATTCAGGCAAAGGTTGAGGTTGCTCACTAACATCTAATGAACCAAGAGCATTAGAAGGAATGAAATGGACCACAGATCTATGTTAGTGATACTTAACATGTCCAAATCTGATATGGTATTTATCTTAAAAGGAAAAATAGATTCTCTGAAATCTACATCCCTATTGACAAAGAAGATCTTATCCTCCAGGTCATATAATCTGTAGCTCTTTTGAGTTTCAGAATAGCCAAACCAAACAACCTTTTTAGCCCTTGCAGCAAAATTTGTCACTTCTAGGTAATTTACAGGTGTAACATAAGCAACCAAACACCTTTAAGTGATCAAGAATAGACATCTTTCCGTACAGTAGTTCATAAGGTGTTTTCCCATTCAAAACTAGAGAAGGCGATTTATTGATTAAGTACACTGAAGTTCTAACACAATCACCCCAAAAACTTATAGGCACGCCACTTTGGAATTTAAGAGCTCTAGCCTTTTCTGAAATGTGTATGTTTTCCTTCTACTATACCATTTTGCTGAGGAGTCTAAGGACAACTGCTTTGGTGAATTATGTCATGTGAAGCCAATAATTGTATGCAATGAGTGTTGAAGAATTCAGTTCCATTGTCAGAACTTATGGATTTCACACTGACACTAAATTGAGTTTTAATCATACAAAGGAAATTTTTCAAGACAGTAGTAACCTCACATTTAGAATGTAACAAACAAATCCATGTATATTTGTTGTAATCATCAACAATAGTGACAAAGTAGTATTTCTTATCCTATGTAGGCTTTATATATGCCCCCTTCAAGTCTACATGAATCAAGTCAAAACAAGCAAGTGTCTTACTACAACTAGTAGGAAAACTGGACCTGTGACGTTTAGCTAGAGGACAAATATGACATTTGTCTTGGATATTATTGCTGGCATATTTGAAGATAGAGGGAATGTGTTGTATCACAGTTGTGGATGGATGGCCCAATCTGAGATGCCAAATAACACCTTCTACTTGGGGTTTGAAACTGACAGTATTTGTAGTAGGAGTAACTTGTTCCTGTAGGAGATGCAACCTTTCCCTTTCTCTACTAATCCCAAGACCTTGCCATTGTAGAGTCCTTGAAAGACACAAAAATCAGGAAAAAATAGTACAACACAAGACAAGTCCTTGGTTATTTTATACACTGAGAGAAGATTAAACTTGAAATCAGGAACATGTAGAACACTCTGCATTTTTTATGTTCCAAAATTAGTAGCATTCGTTGCACTTGTCATCTGGGATCTCCCACCAGTGGGTACCTGAACTTTATCACTAATATAGTTGTCTAGCTTTCTAATATCAAACAACAGTTCCTTACAAGGTGTAGTGTGGTGAGAGGCTCCAGAATCAACAATCCACTCATATGCAAAAACATATGATAATAAAGAATGTATACATGCCGCGTTAGATACACATTCACTAGTGGAGTTTGTGTGATCCTTCTTCCCAAGTAATTCATGATATTGTTGCTCAGTGAGGAAGTAACCTGATCCTGAATTGAAAGGATCATCTGAGCCAGTTCTTTGTGGAACTCCTGGTATGGTATTGGTGCTAGTCTTGGTTG